GGGGGGTGAATAGCGTTTGATCGTAGAAATCGCAGGAATAAAAAATTAAGAACGTGAAACATAAAGAGCGTAGAAAGCGTAAAGGGAGCACGCCAAGATTTATACTGGTTCACCACAACGTGTGGCTAATCCAGTCTCCCGAGAGACTCTCTCGAGCTACACTACTTCCGTTAAGCTTACGGGTGTTTAACAAACCGTTACAACCTGAGAACTCGAGTCCCACGAGCCTCAACAACACTTGCTCGAAGATACCGCACTCCAAGACTTCAATCCGAAGGAAACTACCTTTCCTTCGTACAACCAAGGGAAACAAGCTTCCCTTAACGTGTATACAACACTAAGACACTCAAGAACAAGACTCTCCTTAAGAGTGGATATGAGTAAACTAAGAACGCTCAAGAACACAACACAAGCTTCACAAAAATGGCTCTCAAAAGCTATGAAGAATGATTTGCAATGAAAGAGTAGGAGTTGTGAAGTAATGTTGTATGTAAAACAGACCCAAACACCCCATTTTATAGTAGAAAAATAGGCTCCAACGGATTAAAGTATTTAAGGGGTGATTGGCATAATTTGTGGGATTAGATGAAATTTGGATCTATTGAAGATCACCTAGACAGCGCTGTCCTAGGCCTGGACATCGCTGTTTTAGGCTTGCAGTTTGAAAAATGGGAAGCAACGGTCATGCCAACAGCAATGTCCAAAACCCCTACATCGCTGTTTTGGCTGTTGACTTCTAAACAAGGAAAGTTTTAGCCTTAAATTTCTTCCAACGGTCAGGTCTCTACATCGATGTTCTATACTAGAACATCGTTGTTTAGGTCTGCCTTTGAAGATGGAAGTTTAGGCCTGACAGCGCTGTTGCTGGGTCAACATCGCTGTCCAAAAACTTTCTGCCAATGTACTATGTTTTTGGCTTAGGTTGGACAGCGCTGTAGGGAAGCCTACATCGCTGTTCCAGAAGTTTCTGGAAATCCAACCTTGGCTCAACAGCGATGTCTAAAGTCCAACATCACTGTTGGAAGACTTAACGCCAAACCATGTTTTTGGCTACCCGGGCCAGACAGCGCTGTTGATTACCTCAACATCGCTGTTGGGCTTGGTTTAGCCAGACCCATGGTTGGTTTAGTCACGCCGTTGGCCGATGTCAAAAACGCAAGTCCTCCAAAATAAAAACCAAGTTTAGAAAACATTTGTTTATTGAATTTTGCTAATAAATCAAGTAAAACATCTTGAAAACCACGTCATTTAGTTGAAAACCACGGCTAGCCAAGTTCGCGCCGTTTCGCATGGTTTTCACTAAACGACAAAGAACAGAGAGTGGTTTTTGAGGCGTTTTTGTTGGAGAACTATTTAAATATGCCCAGAAGTAAAAACCAGACATAAAAAGTTGAAAACCACTTGGTTGGTTTGGACGCCAAAAACCAATGCCGAAAACCGAAAGCCGAACGCCGGTTTCTGAAAACCGAACGCCGGATGGCTTGGTTTTTGGCTTGGGCGAACTCCAAGTGTTTTGACCCAAGTTTAAACTTAAGAAAAGTATTTTTGAACATGTAAAAGAGATTTTTATGAATTAAGCCTAGAGAGCCAAGATTTGGAATTTTGTGCCGGTCTTGATCACATTAAAACCGACTCAATACAATTCTAGATCTTCGTTCTTGATTCTGGGTTCTTGGTTCTCAATTCATCATCCCATGTTCCTTCGCCTTAGTTTTGCTCACTTTAGCTTCGATATGTCGCGGCGGTTTGGCATTATCAAAACTTGTCATAAAGATGAACACAGTTTAGTACGACGGAGGCGTAAACCCGTGTTCCAACAATAAGTCCAAGTGAATAAGACTTAGTATCCTTGTAGTTGAGGGTGCCGGTTTTTCCTTGAAAGTAGACTTGACTTGCTTTCCTTTCTGACAAGCATCACAAATGCTTTCCTTTCTGAACACAGCTTTGGGAAGACCTTCTACTAACCCTTCTTTGGATAGCTTGTTGAGGGTTTTGAAGTTGAGATGACTCAACCTCTTATGCCAAAGCCATAGAAGGTTAGTGTCACCTTTGCTGATTAGGCATGCTTCCTTGACATCGTCGCACATTACTTCGTAGATGTTTCTGATTCTCTTCCCAGTGAGAATGACTTCATTTGTGGAGATGTTCTTGAGGGATGCCATGTCCTTGCAGAATTCTAGAGAATAACCTTTATCACAAAACTGACTTATGCTAAGAAGGTTATAGTTGACACTACGTCAAAAACAGATGTTAACAACTGTTCTTTTTAGTAGTCTAACTGTGCTAGTTTCAGTAGTCTTCCGAGCAGCTGTCTGATATATTTACAGACTACTATTTAAAAACAATTGTGTAATACGGTTGACGACACCTATTTTGAGATGTTTCAGAGTACATGTTTTTGAAGTTGTCCTCGTATGAGTAAGACATCTATTTTCTAGAGTTAAAGACAACTGTGATGTTTTGTTGTCTATCTATAATGAATATAACTGTTGTTTTCGACTTCAGACTCCTATTGCGTGGTGTTGTTGTTCAACAATATAGGCATCTAATTTCAAAAGTAGTTGAAAGATATATCAGACAGCTGCTTAGAAGACTACTAAATAAAAATAGCATCAGACAACTGTTATCTTGTGTTATATTTCTAAAATGTAGACTACTAATTTTGTTGTATTTTAAACAACCGTTTCTTTCACTTGTATAGTGCTCAATAACACTACGTTTTGTTGTAGTTGTCCTTTAAGTATTCAAACTATCTTTTTACACAGTAGTCAGATTGTAAATCAGACTACGGCTCCGAAGACAACTAAGTATGTTTGCATAAGACAACTACTATTTGTAAAATGTAAACAACTATATTTGTTGTATTTCTATTGTCTAACTGTTTATTTCTATTGTCTAACGTTTATTAAAAGTATAGGTTTGTGTTGTTGTCCTTTAAAGATTTAGAAGACTATTTTAATACATTATAAAGCTGTTTGAAAGACTACTATATTTCAATTCACATTTATATTTAATAAATAAAATTTATTTCAATTCCAAAATATTGATCATGAAACAAAAATAAATTCTAAAATGTAGAATATATTGAATAATATCTAAATACATACAATCCAAGTCTAAATAACATCCAATAATTTAATATTTACATAATTAAAATCACATTCTAATTGTCCATTTAGCATGCCTAATTTAGTTATTTGTCCCCTCAATAACATTTTTGAATACATCCCTTGCTCTAGCAACATTTTCTTGTAAAGCATCCACTTTAGTCCTCAATCTGCATACCAATAAATAATTAAAATGAATGTTTGTTGATAACAAGAAAGAGTTCATAACAAAAATACTTGAAACGAATTCGCCATGGCTGCTAGCTAAACGAATTAATAGTCATATCAGAAACGAATTCGCCATGGCTGCAACGGCGGTTAAATCCGTAATGCCACGCCAAGATACGTTTGTCTCTTATATGAACAAGGGCTAAAAATCTCATAAACGGATTTCGTTTCTTCAAAATCATCACAGCCATAAACTCATTCACACCGGAGTAAAATGGATACACTTCAGGCTATGTTCGTTTGAGGCATTGAAGAAACCGACGTAATATGGCGTGGCGTTACTGAATTAACCACCGTTGTAGCTCAAATTTGAAATTGGTTTTGTGCTTGAGTCTGTAGAAACGAATTCGCCATGGCTGCAACAACATTTAATTCCATAGTGCCACACCAAGATACGTTCATTCCTACGATGCCTCAAACTTAAAGAGACTAAAGATCTCATAAACAGATTTCGTTTCTTCAAAATCATCACAGCCATAAACTCATACACAGACCCACGTGAATGGCTACATTTCAGGATATTTAATAAACCAAATAGCAATGGAGTCTACAATGGTGCTTAATTGCGTAACACCGCGCCATATTACATTGGTTTCTTAAATTGCCTGAAATGAACAAAGCCTGAAAATCAGAGAAACATATTTCATTACTTCAAAATCATCATATGACATACAATATTTACTCACCAGCACGAAATTTAGGCGTTTGAGGCAATGAAAGAAACCAAATCGCCATGGCTGCTTCAACGGTGGTTAATTCCGTAACGCCACGCCAAGTTGCATTGAATTCTTCAATGCCTCAAACTGTAAAAACCTGAAAATCAAAGTAATTAATTTCCTAAATTCAAAATCTGAACAACCGCAAATTCTTATACAAACCCACACAAAATTGATACACTTGAGGCAATCTAAGAAACCAAATTGCCATGGCTGGTATAATGGTGGTTAGTAAGGTAACCCAACGCCAAGTTACGTTCAGTTTCTTCACTGCCTCAAACAAACAAAGGCTAAAAATCACTGTAACAGAATTGGGAAGCCTAAATATAAGGGCCTAAAACCATTTTAGCTAAGATTTAAAATCCAGTGTTGGGCTTGATTCATATCAGAAACGAATTCGCCATGGCTGCAACGGTGGTTAAATCCGTAATGCCACGCCAAGATACGTTTGTCTCTTATTTGAACAAAGGCTAAAAATCTCATTAACCGATTTCGTTTCTTCAAAATCATCACAGCCATAAACTCATTCACAGCGGAGTAAAATGGATACATTTCAGGCTATGTTCGTTTGAGGCATTGAAGAAACTGACGTAATATGGCGTGGCGTTACCGAATTAACCACCGTTGTAGCTCAAATTTGAAATTGGTTTTGTGCTTGAGTCATTAGAAACGAATTTTCCACGGCTGCAACAACGTTTAATTCTGTAGTGCACACCAAGATACGTTCATTCCTACGATGCCTCAAACTTAAAGAGAGTAAAGATCTCATAAACAGATTTCGTTTCTTCAAAATCATCACAGCCATAAACTCATACACAGACCCACGTGAATGGCTACATTTAAGGCAATTTAAGAAACCAAATCGCAATGGAGTCTACAATGGTGCTTAATTGCGTAACACCGCGCCATATTACATTGGTTTCTTAAATTGCCTGAAATGAACAAAGCCTGAAAGTCAGAGAAACATATATCATTACTTAAAAATCATCATATGCCATACAATATTTACTCACACCAGCACGAAATTTAGGCGTTTGAGGCAATGAAAGAAACCAAATCACCATCGCTGCTTCAACGGTTGTTAATTCCGTAACGCCACACCAAGTTGCATTCAATTCTTCAATGCCTCAAACTGTAAAAACCTGAAAATCAAAGTAATTAATTTCATAAATTCAAGATCTAAACACTCGTGAATTCTTATACACACCCACACAAAATTGATACACTTGAGGCAATCTTAGAAACCAAATTGCCATGGCTGGTATATTGGTGGTTAGTAAGGTAACCCAATGCCAAGTTACGCTCAGTTTCTTCACTGGCTCAAACAAACAAAGCCTAAAAATCACTGTAACAGAAGTGGGAAGCCTAAATATCACAGCCTAAAACCGTTTTAGCTTAAATTTAAAATCCAGTGTTGGGCTTGATTCATATCAGAAACGAATTCGCCATGGCTGCAACGACGGTTAAATCCGTAATGCCACGCCAAGATACGTTTGTCTCTTATATGAACAAGGGCTAAAAATCTCATGAACGGATTTCGTTTCTTCAAAATCATCACAGCCATAAACTCATTCACACCGGAGTAAAATGGATACATTTCAGGCTATGTTCGTTTGAGGCATTGAAGAAACCGACGTAATATGGCGTGGCGTTACCGAATTAACCACCGTTGTAGCTCAAATTTGAAATTGGTTTTGTGCTTGAGTCATTAGAAACGATTTCGCCATGGCTGCAACAACGTTTAATTCCGTAGTGCCACACCAAGATACCTTCATTCATACGATGCCTCAAACTTAAAGAGAGTAAAGATCTCATAAACAGATTTCGTTTCTTCAAAATCATCACAGCCATAAACTCATACGCAGACCCATGTGAATGGCTACATTTCAGGCAATTTAAGAAAACAAATTGCAATGGAGTCTACAATGGTGCTTAATTGCGTAACACCGCGCCATATTACATTGGTTTCTTAAATTTCCTGAAAGGAACAAAGCCTGAAAATCAGAGAAACATATTTCATTACTTCAAAATCATCATATGCCATACAATATTTACTCACACCAGCACGAAATTTAGACCCTTGAGGCAATGAAAGAAACAAAATCGCCATGGCTGCTTCAACGGTGGTTAATTCCGTAACACCACGCCAAGTTGCATCCAATTCTTCAATGCCTCAAACTGTAAAAACCTGAAAATCAAAGTAATTAATTTCATAAATTCAAAATCTGAACACCCGTGAATTCTTATACACACCCACACAAAATTGATACACTTGAGGCAATCTAAGAAACCAAATTGCCATGGCTGGTATAATGGTTGTTAGTAAGGTAACCCAACGCCAAGTTACGTTCAGTTTCTTCACTGCCTCAAACAAACAAAGCGTAAAAATCACTGTAACAGAATTGGGAAGCCTAAATATCACGGCCTAAAACCATTTTAGCTCAAATTTAAAATCCAGTGTTGGGCTTGATTCATATCAGAAATGAATTCGCCATGGCTGCAACGGCGGTTAAATCCGTAATGCCACTCCAAGATACGTTTGTCTCTTATATGAACAAAGGCTAAAAATCTCATAAACGGATTTTGTTTCTTCAAAATCGATCATGACAGCCATAAACTCATTCAGATCGGAGTAAAATGGATACATTTCAGGCTATGTTCGTTTGAGGCATTAAATAAACCGACGTAATATGGCGTGGCAATACCGAATTAACCACCGTTGTAGCTCAAATTTGAAATTGGTTTTGTGCTTGAGTCATTAGAAACGAATTTGCCACGGCTGCAACAACGTTTAATTCCGTAGTGCCACACCAAGATACGTTCATTCCTACGATGCCTCAAACTTAAAGAGGGTAAAGATCTCATAAACAGATTTCGTTTCTTCAAAATCATAAACTCATACACAGACCCACGTGAATGGCTTCATTTCGGGAAATTCAAGAAACCAAATCGCAATGGAGTCTACAATGGTGCTTAATTGCGTAACACCGCGCCATATTACATTGGTTTCTAAAATTGCCTGAAATGAACAAATCCTGAAAATCACAGAAACTTATTTCATTACTTCAAAATCATCATATGCCATACAATATTTACTCACACCAGCACGAAATTTAGGCGTTTGAGGCAATGAAATAAACCAAATCGGCATGGCTGCTGCAACGGTGGTTAATTTCGTAACGCCACGCCAAGTTGCATTCAATTGTTCAATGCCTCAAAAAGTAAAAACCTAAAAATCAAAGTAATTCATTTCATAAATTCAAAATCAGAACCCCCGTGAATTCTTATACACACCCACACAAAATTTAAACACTTGAGGCGATCTAAGAAACCAAATTGCCATGGATGGTATAATGGTGGTTAGTAAGGTAACCCAACGCCAAGTTACGTTCAGTTTCTTCACTGCCTCAAACAAACAAAGCCTAAAAATCACTGTAACGGAATTGGGAAGCCTAAATATCAGTGCCTAAAACTGTTTTAGCTCAGATTTAAAATCCAGTGTTGGGCTTGATTCATATCAGAAACGAATTCGCCATGGCTACAACGACGGTTAAATTCGTAATGCCACGCCAAGATACGTTTGTTTCTTATATGAACAAGGGCTAAAAATCTCATAAACGGATTTCGTTTCTTCAAAATCATCACAGCGATAAACTCATTCACAGCGGAGTAAAATGGATACCTTAGAGGCTATGTTTGTTTGGGGCATTGAAGAAACGACGTAATATGGCGTGGCGTTACCGATATAACCACCGTTGTAGCTCAAATTTGAAATTGGTTTTCTGCTTGAGTCATTAGAAACGAATTTGCCATGGCTGCAACAACGTTTAATTCCGTAGTGCCACACCAAGATACCTTCATTCCTACGATGCCTCAAACGTAAAGAGACTAAATATCTCATAAAGAGATTTTGTTTCTTCAAAATCATCAAAGCCTTAAACTCATACACAGAGCCACGTGAATGGCTACATTTCAGGAAATTTAAGAAACAAAATCGCAATGGAGTCTACAATGGTGCTTAATTGCGTAACACCGCGACATATTACATTGGTTTCTTAAATTTCCTGAAATGAACAAAGCCTGAAAATCAGAGAAACATATTTCATTACTTCAAAATCATCATATGCCATACAATATTTACTCATACCAGCACGAAATTTAGACGCTTGAGGCAATGAAAGAAACCAAATCGCCATGGCTGCTTCAACGGTGGTTAATTCCATAACGCCATGCCAAGTTGCATTCAATTCTTCAATGCCTCAAACTGTAAAAACCTGAAAATCAAAGTAATTAATTTCATAAATTCAAAATCTGAACACCCATGAATTCTTATACACACCCACACAAGATTGATACACTTGAGGCAATCTAAGAAACCAAATTGCCATGGCTGGTATAATGGTGGTTAGTAAGGTAACCCAACGCCAAGTTAGGTTCAGTTTCTTCACTGCCTCAAACAAAAAAAGCCTAAAAATCACTGTAGCACAATTGGGAAGCCTAAATATCAGGGCCTAAAACCGTTTTAGCTCAGATTTAAAATCCAGTGTTGGGCTTGATTCATATCAGAAACGAATTCGCCATGGCTGCAACGGCGGTTAAATCCGTAATGCCACGCCAAGATACGTTTGTCTCTTATATGAACAAAGGCTAAAAATCTCATTAACGGATTTCGTTTCTTCAAAATCATCACAGCCATAAACTCATTCTTAGCGGAGTAAAATGGATACATTTCGAGCTATGTTCGTTTGAGGCATTGAAGAAACCGATGTAATATGCCGTGGCGTTACCGAATTAACCACCGTTGTAGCTCAAATTTGAAATTGGTTTTGTGCTTGAGTCATTAGAAACGAATTCGCCATGGCTGCAACAACGTTTAATTCCGTAGTGCCACACCAAGATACCTTCATTCCTACGATGCCTCAAACTTAAAGAGACTAAATATCTCATAAACAGATTTCGTTTCTTCAAAATCATTACAGCCTTAAACTCATACACAGACCCACGTGAATGGCTACATTTCAGGAAATTTAAGAAACTAAATCGCAATGGAGTATACAATGGTGCTTAATTGCGTAACACCGCGCCATATTACATTAGTTTCTTAAATTGCCTGAAATGAACAAAGCCTGAAAATCAGAGAAACATATTTCATTACTTCAAAATCATCATATGCCATACAATATTTACTCACACCAGCATGAAATTTAGACGCTTGAGGCAATGAAAGAAACCAAATCGCCATGGCTGCTTCAACGGTGGTTAATTCCGTAACGCCACGCCAAGTTGCATTCAATTCTTCAATGCCTCAAACTGTAAAAACCTGAAAATCAAAGTAATTAATTTCCTAAATTCAAAATCTGAACAACCGCAAATTCTTATACACACCCACACAAAATTGATACACTTGAGGCAATCTAAGAAACCAAATTGCCATGGCTGGTATAATGGTGGTTAGTAAGGTAACCCAATGCCAAGTTACGTTCAGTTTCTTCACTGCCTCAAACAAACAAAGCCTAAAAATCACTGTAACAGAATTGGGAATCCTAAATATCAGTGCCTAAAACCGTTTTAGCTCAGATTAAAAATCCAGTGTTGGGCTTGAGCCATATCAGAAACGAATTCGCCATGGCTGCAACGGCGGTTAAATCCGTAATGCTACGCCAAGATACGTTTGTCTCTTATATGAACAAAGGCTAAAAATCTCATAAACGGATTTCATTTCTTCAAAATCATCACAGCCATAAACTCATTCACAGTGGAGTAAAATGGATACATTTCGAGCTATGTTCGTTTGAGGAATTGAAGAAACCGACGTAATATGGCGTGGCGTTACCGAATTAACCACCGTTGTAGCTCAAATTTGAAATTGGTTTTGTGCTTGAGTCATTAGATACGAATTCGCCATGGCTGCAACAACGTTTAATTCCGTAGTGCCACACCAAGATACCTTCATTCTTTTGATGCCTCAAACTTAAAGAGACTAAATATCTCATAAACAGATTTCGTTTCTTCAAAATCATCACAGCCTTAAACTCATACACAGACCCACGTGAATGGATACATTTCAGGAAATTTAAGAAACTAAATCGCAATGGAGTCTACAATGGTGCTTAATTGCGTAACACCGCGCCATATTACATTGGTTTCTTAAATTTCCTGAAATGAACAAAGCCTGAAAATCAGAGAAACATATTTCATTACTTCAAAATCATCATATGCCATACAATATTTACTCACACCAGCACGAAATTTAGACGCTTGAGGCAATGAAAGAAACCAAATCGCCATGGTTGCTTCAACGGTGGTTAATTCCGTAACGCCACGCCAAGTTGCATTCAATTCTTCAATGCCTCAAACTGTAAAAACCTGAAAATCAAAGTAATTAATTTCATAAATTCAAAATCTTAACACCCGTGAATTCTTATACACACCCACACAAAATTGATACACTTGAGGCAATCTAAGAAACCAAATTGCCATGGCTGGTATAATGGTGGTTAGTAAGTTAACCCAACGCCAAGTTAAGTTTAGTTTCTTCACTGCCTCAAACAAACAAAGCCTAAAAATCACTGTAACAGAATTGGGAATCCTAATTATCAGTGCCTAAAACCATTTTAGCTTAGATTTAAAATCCAGTGTTGGGCTTGAGTAATATCAGAAACGAATTCGCCATGGCTGCAACGGCGGTTAAATCCATAATGCCACGCCAAGATAAGTTTGTCTCTTATATGAACAAAGGCTAAAAATCTCATAAACGAATTTCATTTCTTCAAAATCATCACAGCCATAAACTCATTCACACCGGAGTAAAATGGATACATTTCAGGCTATGTTCGTTTGAGGCATTGAAGAAACCAACGTAATATGGCGTGGCGTTACTGAATTAACCACCGTTGTAGCTCAAATTTGAAATTGGTTTTGTGCTTGAGTCATTAGAAACGAATTCGCCATGGCTGCAACAACGTTTAATTCCGTAGTGGCACACCAAGATACGTTCATTCCTACGATGCCTCAAACTTAAAGAGACTAAAGATCTCATAAACAGATTTTGTTTCTTCAAAATCATAAACTCATACACAGACCCACGTGAATGGCTTCATTTCAGGCAATTTAAGAAACCAAACCGCAATGGAGTCTACAATGGTGCTTAATTGCGTAACACCGCACCATATTACATTGGTTTTCTAAAATTGCCTGAAACGAAGACCGTAGTCTTTAGCGTCGTTGAGTCGGTCACAATGTGATCAAGACCGACCCAAGCTTTGCACTTTAGCTCTTTAGGCTAAAACATTTTTTATTTCCTTTTACATATCATCAAAATTATTTTCAAACATGCTTAAACATATTAAAAACACTTGGTGTTCGCCCAAACCAAAAACCAAGCCATCCGGGGTTCGGCTTTCGGAAACCGGCGTTTGGCATTCGGTTATCAGCATTGGTTTTTGGCGTCCGAACCAACCAAGTGGTTTTCAACTTTTTATGATTGTTTTTTACTTCTGGGAACATTTAAATAGTTTTCCATAAAAAACACTTCAAAAACCACCTTTCGTTTTTTGTCGTTTGATAAAAACCATGCGAAACGGCATAAAGTTGGCTAGCCGTGGTTTTTACTTAAATGAAGTGGTTTTTGAGTCTTTTTGTGTGGGAATTGTTTTTGAATGCATTTTAATGGTTCTCCAATCAAAACATCATGAAAACCACCTTTCGGTTTTGTCTTTTGGTAAAAACCACCCGTGTACGGCATTGACTTGGTCAACCGTGGTTTTTATATACTTAGTTTTTACTTTGGAGAACTTTGCATTTTTCGGTCGGGTTTTAGTGCCGGTGAGCTAGGCCATGGTTCTGGGCTAGCCATCTACCCAGCGATGGTAGATATCACCCATCCATGGGTAAGTGATCCCGGGATTCCAGAATCATTCCACCCAGCGATGGGAGATATTACCCAGCGATGGGTAAGCAGCCTTTAGCCCAATTGAATTCCAGAACCATGCCAAACAGCGATGGGAAACTTTACCCATCGCTGTTTAAGCCTTGGTCCAACATTTTCACAACGAAGAATGTCCTTACCCAGCGATGGGAACCTTTACCCATCGATGGGAACCCAGCGATGGGAGGGCATACCCATGGCTGGTTAGGCATGACCGTTGCAAGTCATTTAAGGCTGATTCTTTCCTTGTTTGAAAGTCAACCTCCCACCCAGCGATGGGAAGCATTTACCCATCGATGGGTAGGTGACCGTTGGCTTCAAAACTGAAGGAAAATTGGCTTACCAGCGATGGGTGAGT